TGGTGAAGTCCTCTGGAAATCTTCAATAATTGTTGTTAATTGCAGATGTGTCTAGTAGTTCCCATTGATTTCGCTTGTAAGGCGGGGAGAATGGCGCTAGGCTTACCGCACCGTGTGTCAGTAAAAGTTACCTAAGTTGAAGGATATTTGGTCCCAGAGTAAAACAACAAAAATTTAAAAGTGAATTTTCCTCCGAGTTGAATAATTTAAGGTCACTTATTTATGCCTCCTCTACAATCCAGCTCTTAATAGTAAGCCGACAGGAAATGGGTTTAAGAGTTAAAAAAAAAGATACAGGACAAAGGTCAATGGGGTTGGACTCGAACCGGTGACGTTGAGAACTGGAGCCACAATGCACGCTTCACCCTCCGTACCAGTGCTACACCTCATCCACGGTTTTAAAATTGTATTAGCACAGCATTCATGACCAGGAACCTCAGTATGGTGGAGAAAACAGGGCCTTTTTACTTAGGCTCCGCCCACTGTACTACTTGCACCTAAAATTTACAATTACTCCAAACTTCATTCTGTAACTCAAAGTAGAAACTATTCAAAGTCTGTGAACCCTGTTTAACCTAAGAGAGAACCTGTTATTTTTGTTTGCTTTTTCCACGAACTCAGCTTTTATCAAAAGATGAGAGGTTGGGTTGTCTTTTCCTGGAATGTGGGTGGAAGGCCAGCACCATCTGGAAAATCCAGAACCACTTGCTGAACATTTGATTTTTCTTTTGTTTGCAACAAGCGGAGCACGCCTCGGTTCACTTCCGAGAAGACGGCCTGGTTTTAGGGCGTGTGGAGGGCCGTGTTTCACCTTAAGCAATGAGACCTCCTAGCTGATATGCTTTGATTCAGAGCAGGACCACACACAGTTACAGGCTTCTAAACACTTTTCACCTATCCACTGGATTTCAATAAAAGGCATTTTTACAAAAATAAAAAAGGTATGGCATCGAATTTATTTGTGCTGGATGAATCACTACTATGTAAAACCAACTCCCTCTATATTTCCATCTGCCATCATTCTATCTCGTTTGCGAATTCAGGTTCAAACATTGACACATTTCTACAAAGAAACTCAAGATCAGCCAGATTAGACCAAAAGCATACATTTTCAAATCTTAAAATAGAGGATCAATTAAGATACAGGTCTAGACTTCCACTAGATGGTTGTCTTACATTCATATGCATCCATTCATATACATCCATGATTTTTTAAAGATTGTTGCTACGACGTTTGAAAAAATAAATGTGTGAAAGATCAAGGAGTATCTCGCCCTGCCTGTTTGATGGCAGCGTTACTCAAATGGGAACGGCCTGTTTCATTAATTATTTGCGTTCAATCTCTAGATGGTTTTCTATAAACGAATGAATTATAAATGACTTCATTTCAAAAATGATTGTTTACATAAGTTGAGGCTGATGTTTACAGTCTCAGGCTTCCCCCCCATGGTAACGGACGTTCTGGTATTAGTCAGGCAATAAAACGATCATCATAAAACATGACATGTTCCCCATTTGGCTGCAGGATGACAAGAAGAAAAAGAAGAAGAAGAAGCAGGAAAAGAAGAAAAAGGATGAGATGAAAAACTATGTCTGGGACAACGTTGTCGTCTGTCAGGAAGGTAAGTTTTCAACCTTTCTCCTTTGCCTATTCAGTTCAAATGTAATTTTGTATCATTAAAAACTGTCGTTTAGATTGAATTCAAGCTGTTCTCCAAAGTATAAATGCTGCTGCTTTGTGGCAAAAAAAATACAGGTTATATTTGAACTGGAGTTTGGAACCATATGTGTTTTAACTGAGGTGTATCTTCATATAAAATATAATTAACAGTCATTTATTAATAACCTGGATCATATTTTTCGCTGGTTTTAGGTCCTGAGGGCCTGGAGGAGGAGCTTGACATAGAAGCCATGAAGATACAAGTGGTGAGAAATCAATATTAATCAATATTCGTCTTTTTAAAAATATATTTAATGCTTCATGTATTGCGTAATCAGGAATACGACTCATCAGATGAGGAGCATGAAAAGAAGAAGGAGAAAAAGAAGAAGAAGAAAAAGGACAAGAAAAAGAAAAAAAAGAAGAAGAAGGTATTTATAATCATCAAAAAGCTGATATTTTTGTGATTGTATCACAAAAGGTTTGGTTGTTTTTTTATTTAAACAAATCCTGAACTCAGATCATATAAAGTAAGATTTTATTCAAACCTTTTCTGTTGCAGGATTCCTCTTCCTCCTCATCTGACAGCTCATCAGACAGCGAAGATGATAAGAAAAAGAAAAAGAAAAAGAAGAAGAAGACAAAGAAAAAGAAGAAGAAGAAGGCAGGATTTGCATATGTTTACCCCAAATATTCAGCCGGCTAAAATAAAAAAATAAAAAACAGTAAAACACTAAGAAGAAGGTTTAACGTCGAAATGTGTCAGATCTTTTAATTTTATCCCGGTTAAGGTGTGATTGTGACTCATTTGCTTCTCCTTGCTTATAGGACTCCAGTTCTTCTGATAGCTCCTCTTCTTCCTCTGACAGTGACGATGACAAGAAAAAGAAGAAGAAGAAGAAAAAGGACAAGAAGAAGAAGAAAAAAAAGGACAAGAAAAAGGTTGATGTGCTTTTAATTTGTAGAAATGCAGAATTTCCTCATTATTTACTTTAAAACCTGGATGTTCAGGAGTGGTACTTTACCTGGATTAACGCAGAGATAAGTAAAACCTTTCTGAGCATGTTTTCATTCAAATGACTGCCGCCATTAATGCGATTAATCCCAAATTATTTCACAAACCCGCTTTTTTTGTGCTTTTATTTTTGTGCTGCACATCCAACTGTTCGCAGGGAAATCATATTTAAATGTCACATCATTCTGGCTTAAACATGTATATAAATGTACTCTTTATCGGACAAATTTCTGTTTTAGAAGAAAAATCCTGTCTTAAAATTTGTGTGTTTTTTTCCGTTATCTTACGCAGGCCAGTTAGTTATACGTCAGCCTGAAGACCTAAATTCGGCCAATCATATATCAACGGTCATCTGTCAATCAAATGTTTTCGGTCATAGCATCTTGATTCATATGTCGCAGCTAATATACGCAATGGTTGAAATAAGAATCATTTCCTTTCCATTGAGTTCCGTCCCAGTGTTCACGGGGATAGACGTCTGTGTCTTCTGCAGGCGTAGAGC